TCTTTCCCTTTGACAAAAAGTGGGATGAAAAGCTATAATCTTGGTACACTTCTGGGGATGAAAGTAAGTATTCTGAAATCATTTGTTTAATCCTCAGCAAAAATGTTTTGACTTCAGCATCTGTAACACTGAAATTAATCGGTGGTTTTAATTATTGCCCTTTAAATTTTGGAAACAAAGTAATGCGTGTTCGTGGAGCCATTCCTATTTAGCTGAGCCAGAATTTTCAGACGGAAAAAAGGTGTAGTCAGAAACATTTTAACCGCTCCAGAATTTGCCTTTGTATGCCTGTTATTTACCCAGGGCATCGATCAGGAACGGAGATCTGGCTCTCTGCACCTCTAATAGGAGCCATTTCTGTTCCGATGCCAGGGAAAGGCTCGTTGCTGCTGCCGTGCCTGGCCGAGCAGCGGCTGCGTTGCACCAGGTGCTCGTAGCGCTCTGGAGCAGACGAGCGAGGTTGTGCGTCTTTGGTCAGTGACGCCTGTTGCGTTGCGTAAGGGAGGGAGAAAGGTGCTGCGACCGGCTGCCTCCTGCACAGGGCTGGCACGGGGGCAGGTGACTTAAACTGCGACTGTCGTCCTGGCTGCCTGCTGCCAGGCTTGCATTAATATTCCTAAAAAAAAAACTTAAAAAAAATTAAAAAAAAAATCAATTGATCAAGTGCTAAGTCTGGCAAGGAGGCTTTAAATCGCTGCCGGAGCATGGCTGTGAGGTTCTGCTGCTGCTGCCAGAGAAAGCCTTATAGAGAGCAGACGCGAACTGCAGCAAACGAGCGTGCGTGCGCGCTCCTTCTAGGCAAGGGGTGGCTCCGAGGAGCTGCTGCGGGTAAACACCAGCTGTGTTTGCTCTGGTCCGACCAGCGACGGGGCTTGGCGGTGGAGAACGGGATAGCCTGACCCCGCGGGGAATGGCATAGTTAACGCTGTAACGGTTACAGAAGCAGCAGGCAGAATACAGAAAGGAGCGTGAGATGGACACCCTGCCGCCGGCCCTGCTCCTCTCCCACAGGGCAGCTGTAGCCCCGCTGTCGTACTGAATTCTTGAAGATTTGACCCGCAGCCTTCTAGAGGTTTCATCAGCCAAGAGGAGATGTGAGCCAGGCTAACCGGGGGCTGTTTTCAGGCCTATTTGTGCCTCGCTGAGAGTTCTACCCCTTCAGGAAAAGGACCATCTCTCGCTGCACGGTTGGTTTTGTGCCATTTACTGCACTGGGAGCAACGCTCGGAGAGGAGCAGCAGCCTTGTGGGACCAGGACTCGTGTGGGAGCTGCGAAAGGTAGCTAAAAATACCAGAAGACTTAAATCTGCTGGAAGCCAAACTTGGAGAAGAACTCAGCTGGGAATGAGACGAACGTGTTTAACAGGGAAGCGAGCAGCCTGTTGTTCAGCATCGCTGTGGTTTGCGTGGTCCCTCTCGTCCGGAGGGGCTGGAGGACTTTGTTCCTGCTCGGGTGTACACGGCTTGACTTCACCTAGGAACACGGAGGTGACTCGGGGGGCTGAGTCCAGCTAGTTGGTCAGGGCAGGCTGAAATCCGTGGCCTCTGTACTTGAAGAAACCTTTTTATTTCCTTTCCAAGTGTTTTTGGATGCTCCTCCACTCCGAATGGATTGGCTGTTGTGGGAAATGGAAGTTCTGTGTGTCTCCCTCGGGCAGCATGAGTTGCTTTTACACTGTTCTTGGCCCTAGTTGGCTTATTACAAGGTGCAACTTGCAGGTCATCTTACCACTGTCTTTTACAAGGAGAACTAAATTAAGAAGAGCTCCTAGGAGGTGGATCTGGAAGAATAGGAAGGATCCGACCCGTGGATCTCACTGTATAGAGGTCAAATTAAGAGGCTGCGTTAATTTAAACCGCACGAAATAGGAGTTCGTGAGAAGGACTCGCTGCGAGCCTGCAATTATAAATGAAAAGACTCACTGGGTGCAAATAACAGTTCTTAAAATTAGATCCTAGTCCAAGTGAATGGGGAGAGAGTGCAGTTAACACCGTGAGGCTGAGATGGAGCAGGTACAGCGAGGAAATAGATTCGGCATCTCCTAAAGAGAAACCACAGGGAAGAGCAGCTTTTTCTGTCTCTTAAATTTAACTTTCAGCTGATGATTTATGTGAATTAATAAAAGGAGAAGATAGGATTCAAATAGTAAAATTTATGAGCTTCTGCTTAATGCCACAGGAAGAAGAAACCTGATTAGCTGTATTAAAGTTCTACCAGGCTTTTGGATGGAGATTTCTGAGCTTCATGTCAGACAAATGGGGCTGATAGCACCTCATGTCGACGGGCGGGGAAATGCTAGGAGATGCTTCTGGAGGGGTTTGATCCAATGGACAGTGTCTCCTGGTCTACGGGTGAAAGCTTTTACACTTGCAAGGCATTTTAGCTTCAATGGGAAAGTATTGAGGAAGGATAACGATCTCTAAAGGTCCCTTCCAACCCAAAGCATTCTATGATTCTATGATAGTTGTACGACACTGTAGCAGGCTGCAGCACAACAGAGCTTAATACTCTGATACAAAAGCTTAATCCCTGTTTCAGGCACAACTCGGGATTCCCATGCTCCGGTGTCTGGCCTGCCCCTTGGCCGGGATTAGTGGGGGTCTTCCCTGCGCTGCTGGATGCAGCCAGGCCTGGGTGACTTCCAGCAGCAAGCGCTGCCAGCCCGTTACGGCGGGAACACCAACGTGTCTGGGAAGGAAGATGAAGCTGGCACTTACATGCAACACTGGGAGAGCGGGGCCAGGATGGAGGTTTCATCATGGGAATGCCGCCCGAACCTGGGGGGTAAGCAGAGGGTGCAGAGCTTTAGTGCCTGCCCACCCCCTTCCCCACCTCCCCGACGTCCTCCCACAGCCTCACCCTCTGGCGTTGTCCAGATGTAAGAGGAAGCCGTCGTCCCCAAACTTGGTGAACATTTCGTAGTGGTGACGGTCCATGTTCCCTGGTAAAGGGCAGACAGAGGAACAGAGTTTCCCTTGCACGTGACCAAGTAATTTTCTCAACTATCCTAAGTTTTTTTTCAGATCTGCATGAAGAACGTGTTGCCTTGCTCAAGTGTCTAAGATGCTCAGAGCTGCTGCTTTCATCTTGCTGGACCCCCCGGGGAGTGGGCTGGGGTGGGCCTGGGGGCTCCCCCTCGCCTGCACATCAGGAGGGGTTGTGCTAGCTGGCTGTGGGGAGACAGCAGTCTCCCAAAACTGTCTCTAGAGCAGAAGGGATGCCTTGAGAAATACCGCGGCACGGGAGGGCAGACAGACTGACACTGAAGGCCCACACAGAAGGAGGGAACGTTACTACTTCTTCTTCTCCCAAGTAACTAGCGATAGGACAAGAGGAAATGGCCTCAAGCTGTGTCAGGGGAGGTTTAGATTGGATATTAGGAGAAATTTCTTTACTGAAAGAGTGGTCAAGCATTGGAACAGGCTGCCCAGGGAAGTGGTGGAATCACCATCCCTGGAGGCGTTGAAAAAACGTGTAGACGTCGCACTCTGGGACATGGTTTAGTGGGCATGGTGGTGTTGGGTTGATGGTTGGACTGATGATCTTAGAGGTCCTTTCCAACCTTAGTGATTCCTAGTTTTACTTTCATTAAAAAATAATCCAGCCACCAAGCCAGGAAACATGAAATTAATTATTACTCTGCCCTTAATTGGTTTAGCGGTGGACTTGGTAGTGTTAGGCTAATGGTTGGACTAGATGATCTTAAAGGTCTTTTCCAACCTAAATGATTCTATGATTCCCCCTTCATCATACCTATTAGGAAGTCAAATATGGCCATGTCAACGATGTTAAGCAGCCGGTTGCCATTGCTGTAGGGGTAGATCTCCCTCACTGTGTTGCAGTAGAGCGGATTCACTTCCCACCTGCAAATGGAGGAGAAGGGGGAGCTGTGCTCAGTGGTTGCTGTTGCTGTGTCCCAACAGCACCCCAAAGCCAGTCTCCCATGTGGAGATGGAGAGGAGGAGGACTTAAATCTCCCTCCTTGTGCATGCAGGAGACTGGAAGTCAAACACAGCTAATGCCCAGGCATTACGAGTTATTAGACTAATTACAGGCAATCTCTGAACCTTGGCCTTCCCCAGCCTGGATGTACAATTTCTGTACGTATGTCTGTGTGTCTGTACCGTGCTCATTCTCCTTCCCACACGCTCCCTGCAATGCAGATATGGGAAGCAGCATCATTTACCCACTTACTCCTCTTTTCCATCAAACGAGTAGGACCGGATCCACGGGTTTGGGATGGAGAGTCGTGGCGCCAGGTTGAGGGACGGCAGGAAGGCAGAGAGGGACCCTTCCAGGAGGTGAGGGTTCCCACACACGGCGTACTCGGTCTTGCACATGTATGGGCACTTGGCAAAGAAGCACACGTTCCTGGCTGGGAGAAGAGAGAGGGGAACTGGGGAAAGGAGCTACGATCTGCAGGAGGCTGCAAGGTAGCCTGGACTGGCCTCTTCCCCATCGCGTGACAGTGACTGTGTATACTGTGGCATTGGTAACCACATCATGGATGTGAAACTGCCATGATTGATGGAGGATACCTGGATTTTGGTTGATGGACAGCCCTGGTCCCATGCTAGGGGAAAAGTTGGGGAAAATTGGGCAGGTGAGTAGATCTGGCAGATGATTCCAGCTGGAGGCTGAGGGACACCTTTGCTGTAACCATGTCCTTGTGCATCTGTTTCACCCAAGAATTTAATTTCTGCTCAACAGCACAAGGCCCCTTTTGCATGCAGACCTTGCCCTTCCACCCACCGTGGACCAACACGTCCAACCCCAGCTCGCAGCAGCCAAGCGCTTGCCTACCTGGTGAGACAAAAAAGACACTCTGCAGAATCTCGTTCTTGGTGACCTCCAGGATCTCTTTGGTGACGTTGATCAACCTCCCGACTGTGGGCGGCACCCTCCGGAAATCCAGGATCCTGCACAAAAGGGACAGCGGCTCAGAGCCTGCGGTGCAAAGAGATGTTACCACACAGAACGGCAACGTGGGATGGCAGATGCTGCCCTCGTCCCTTCCGTTGCTAAACCAGGGGCCTTTTGATGACTGCACCCGCATGGATTTTTTTTCTTCCAGCTTCTTTCTAGCAAATACCCAGGATCACTTTACCCTCTGGACCAAAATGTGTCCCAGTTCAGATTTTGGTATTTTAATAGCTGCTACCTGGAACAATCTGGGTGTTCTCCAGGATTCATGTCTTCTTCCCTAACTGGTTTCTCCCATCCCCTTGCATGCAAGCTGGGTCCTTTGGGAGGCAGAACAGCCCTTCAGACCCTTCTACAATGTTGGGTTTGACACAGAGAAAAGATGCATTGAACCTGGTACAACGTGGCTGAGACAGCGGGAGGCGAGGAGGGATCACCCCACTCGGAGGCACTCATGCCCAGCTGATTCATCTCAAATATTCTTAAAAACTATTTTTTTTTTTTTTTTTTAAATAGGCAGGCAGGCATTCATGGAAAGCCGCTGTTGATTGCTGAGTCAGTAACATGGGGTGAACCAGCTAATGCTGTGCTTTGCTGTTGGGTAATACGCTCTACTTCTGAGAATCGGGCACAAAACAGGATTTAGCCTGTTACTTATTGAGCAATGTTTAAAGAAAAAAACATCACTTGCTTTCATCTAGCATCTTTCAGCTCTAAAAATCACAAAGCACTTCAGAAAAGCAGTCTAGCCTTGTTTTTCTGGTGGTGGAGCTGGGATGCAGGGAGGCAAGCTGATGGTAGCTGAGTCAAGCAGAGTCACTGCGGTGATGTAAGGGCAGAGCTGGAAAGAGAATTCAGCTCTTTTCATTCCCTCGTGCAGAGTTTGAGCTACAGGATTTCAGTCCAGTCCTGCTTACCGTACAAGTTGGGGTTGGGAACTGGAGACCCCCATCCATGACCATCATGAGGGATCACTTCCCCTTGATGTTCAATACTCAGCCCATTGAGGGGAAGAAGGCTGCTGCCCTCCTCTTCTAATAAGGGTATTTTTGATTTTATTAAATACAAAGCCTGCTGGGAAGGGGTGCCAGGTTAATTGCTCATCAGCTGAGGGCTTGAAACTGCATCGTTGCCGTTTATCTCAATCCCAAACACGCCTTGATTGCTGATTGAGCATGTGACGTCCGCACCGGGAGGGGATCCAGGCTGCGCCCAGAGCTCACCTTTGCGCTCCAATGCATGGGAGGGACCACGTGCGTGTGGCTGTGTGACAAACACCTGACCCGTTTGCGACCTGGACCTCCCCTGCCAGCCTGTTCTTGTGCAGCGACCGAGGCAAAGCTGACTCCTGGGCTTCAGATGAGAGCCAGAGCCGCCCTGTCCCCAGGTAATGCAGCAGCTCCCAAAAGGGTGCTGGAAAGCAATCGCTTATCTAAGGCCAAGCAGCTCTGCAGGACTCAGCAGGGCTTTTCTCGTGTCCAGGCTCTCCGTGGGCAGAGGGACCGGACGCTGGCAGCTGGAGGAGGCAGGCATCACGGCAGGCCCCTACCTGTCCAGGTGGAAGGCGGCGATCTCTGCGTTGTGCCGCTGGAAGTCAACGAAGTAGAAAAAGTCCTCGGGAGTCTCTTCCTCGCGTTTCTGCCTGGGAGAGATCAAGGGGGTTAATCTAAGCGGGCATGGCAGGGCGGGCGGGCAGCTGCAGGCAGCCTGGGCACGGCGGGGTGGCACAAGGACGGGGT